CGAACTTCATTCCAAGTTGTCGGGGTGGTTTTGTGGCGGGGAACAATGGAAAGCTACTTCGCCAAGTTCCTTTAAGAACTTGCACACACACAGTACCTTATTCATGTCTTCTTTCTGCTTCTGTTTACGACGTAAGATTTTAATAATTTAATAGAGCACCTTTTGAATTATTTAGACCAAGTTTAATTTGTGTGATATTACAAAATGACGCTTACTATTACTTATTACTGGTGGTAGGACCTCTTGAGAGTCCGCACGGGTACGTACCACCACCCTGCCTATTTCTACCGTGAAGCAGTAATGCGTTTCGGTATGAAGGGTGGGGCAGCCGTTGTAACATACTGAGACCTTAGAACTTATATCTCAAGGTGGGTGGCGCATTTACGTTGTAGATATGGGCTCCAGTAACCACTTAACAGCAGGTGGGCTGTGAGCTCGTCCACACATCTATGCAATAAATAAATAAATATTACGAGTAGAATATTTTGTGACGTGTAAATTAGACTGATTATTTTCATTTTGAACGTGAGGCCCGAAGAGTGAAATATTCGTTATATAGTATTGAGACTTAGTTCTCATGTATCAATATTGCAGGTGGCATTCGTGTTATGTATTATACTATGTGGGCTTCGAAAACCACGAAACAGTTGAAAAACGATTTTTTATTGGTTTCTTTTTGTATTGGTGCTTTTGTCCCTGCCTGATTGCTATTCCCGACTTCACTGGACTGGATGCTTACGGGGTAAGCACCTGGGAAACTTTGCTAATATCTACCCACTAAAAAGATACGATGAGAAGGTCAGTGGGTTGTGTGTCTGTAGGAATATTGGTGAAGATAGGTCAGGTTTGAGCCCCGTGAGCTCACCTACTAGTTAAGGTTACACTGAAATAGCCTCCCAACGCTATGAGGTTAGGCAGAAAAAAAAAGGCGCAGATAGTTAAGCTTACTCGTAGCGATAGTAATATTAATGGATGATTTTCAGATCAGTAACTAAGCACCGAGGGATTCTTTTTGTTGTAAAGGTTTCCAATGTTACAGACGAACGCGTGGCCTAATTTAAGTGGTTACCTAAGAAAATATCAAAGCATAAATACCGCCACCCACTGAAAATATGACGATAAAGTATAGATTGTGTTTTATAACTGCTGTTTCACTCTACAAACCATAGACATGACGGCTTTATTTATTTATTGCATATATGGATGGACAAGATCACAGCTCATCTGGTATTAAGTGGTTACTGGAGTACAGAGACATCTACAAGGTAAATACCGCCACCCACCTTGAGATTCTAAGGTCTCATTATGGTTACAACGGCTAACCGCCCCTCAAATCGAAACGCGTTATTGCTTCACGGCAGGGTGGTGGTACCTACCCGTGTGGACTCACAAGTGGTCCTACCACCAGTAATTATAATTTGGCGGGTTTGATTTTTATTACACGATGTTATTCATTCACCGTGGAAGTCAACCGTCAACATTTGTTAAGTACGTATTTCATTAGAAAAATAGGTACCCGTCTGCGGGATTCGAACACCGGTGCATTGCCCAACACGAATGCACTGAACGTCTTATCCTTTAGGCCACGACGACTTCGCGGTAAACGCAATGTAGACCCCCACCCTTGTGTACTAACAATACGCACAGCTACCAGTACATACCTTGAGATGTAATCCAACAATAATTTAAGTACGTTATCATTTTTTTTTATTGTTTAGCCGAGTGAACGATCTAAGAGTACGTAAATGCCGCCAGCCATGTTGAGACATGAGTTCTAAGTCTACATTCTATGGTACAACGACTTCCCCACCCCAAATTTTGTAATTCAAGTGATGTTATATACAGATTTATATTATGTACATTAAAGAATCAAGTGTAAAATAATATGATTTTAACAATAATTCACCCACAATTGCAAGAACAATAACAAAGAGGACATTTGAATAAACAAACAATGATATAGTACAATCTGATATATCTAAAACAAACTAATAAAACAAAACTACAAACACATTCGATTAATGATACATCACCGTTAGGAGATAAAGGCTTATCGTATTTTATCGATGTTTATCGATGTTTTGACGTCACGCGAGGCACAGCACGCCCCGTCACGAAGCCTCCGATTTTACTAATCCGAGTAACGTGTGAGTAAATTTACGATAGCCGAGGAAATCAGTGGAGGCGATAGTAGAATCATCAAAATGTAATTTCGTATTTAATTACATTTTAATAGTTTTTCTTCGAGATTGGTATTGTTGATCACTATATTATATGTAACGTCACTTTTTAGTTAGTTTTATTGATTGAAATTTGGCTGTAATCGTTGACACCTCGATATTTCGATTCATTTAAAATATAGAAATTTTCTCTCCTGTTTTCTTTTTCGACATTTTTAAAACTACTTAAATTTTTTTTCTATCAAAAAAGCTCTTCAATAAATAATAAAACAAAAGAAAATGAAGGAAATCGGTCCACAAAAAAAATTGTGCTTAATTATTTTTTATGGTGGAATTTGGCCTTTTTTGGATGTTGGCTTGGCCTAGAGGCCTTTTCAGCTTCATCAGGAGGAGTGGAATTTGGTAACAATCACCCGAGCATCTCCGAAGGAGCCCTTCCATTTGTAGGGTAGTAGCTTTGCGACTGCATACTGTATAAAGAATATACTGCACACGATGTTAAAATTCGGCAGTCAGCTGACGCGGTCAATGGTCTTCCATAACGCACAGAGGGCGCCAGAAGCCGGCAGGCTCCACAAAAGAACTACCTACAACGCTAGATAAATATTTAAACCTTACTTGAAAAACTACAGAGTTCGTAGTGCAATGGATATCTAATATATTACCTACTATTCCAGCTACCGTAATAGTTGTCTTTGTATTTTGAAAAAGTTTACATTGATTAAATGTTTCTTATTTTACGCCCCAAATTCGGATTGGATTTTAATTTGGGTCATCTCCTGTATTAGCTGTCGGAGGTACATATACGAGAGAAGAGTGCTGCACTGAATCTCAAATCTTTTACAAAGATAATGACTTTGGCTTGCATCAGCATCATTCGCTATAAGATTAACAGGGAAATCAAACTTATCCACTGCTATTGATATGGCATTGTACCTGTGAAGTGTCATTTTATTTTCTTAATGCATAGACAAGTGATCAGAAGGAAACACAAGTGAATGAACAGTAGTGAACTCACCGATCCCTCTGCTGTTAAGTGGTTACAGCAACTCAGAAGTATCACAATGTGAATACCAATCCAATTGGACACCTACATAAGGTCTAAGCCCCAAATAGTTAAATTTCAAATGTACAGTTTAACCTGACCTTGACACATTTAGTGATAACGATGGTTAATTTCGAGTCATAATTAATAGTTTCTGTCATTCTATATGTCGTATAGATTTAATGACTATGACAATGTTCGTCCACAAAATTAAATGAGCTAACGATATTATTTGTGGTCACGACACGTAACTCAGAAGGCGATTTGTCGTTTATATCTTTATTTTCCCTTAATAATGAAATGTTTTCACAACGAAATATGATGCGTTTGCTGAATGAGAAAAATATGTTTTTTTCATGAATAAGGGATAACTGGTGGCCTTTCCAGTTTCACAAGAGAAACAAACCGTATTGTGCGATAGCTTATATTGTACAAGAGATATTCGTCACGGCAAAAAATGGTCATAGGACCAACGGTGACCAACGAATATGATATTCCAATTAGATTTTTTTTTATTGCTTTGATGGTTGGACCAGCTCACAACCCACCTGGTGTTAAGTGGTTACTGGAGCCCATAGACATGTACAACGTAAATGTGCCAACCACCTTAAGATATAAGTTCTAAGGTCTCAGTATAGTTACAACGGCTTCCCCACCCTTCAAACCGAAACGCATTACTGCTTCACGGCAGAAATAGGCTGGGTGGTGGTACCTACCCGTGCGGACTCACAAGAGGTCCTACCACCAGTAAAAAAATTGTAAGCATTTTTGTCCCTTCACTTACACTAGCCGAAAAACAAACTCTTAAAGCGAAACTTTCAAAATTCACGCACAGAAGATCGCTTAAAGAAACCTTCGTAGATCAAGTTAATAATGTGATTACACTGACATCAGACAAAAAGACTTTGTAATCCAATAATCTCGTTCGTTACGTCGTACGTTTTCTGCTTCTTCGATGAAAAATGAACATAATAATAATATATTTCTTGATGAAAGTGAGATTTAACGAATCCTGAGCGGATTCATTATATTGCTTTTGAAGCATTAGTAGTTACTTTGATGGCGTATAATCGAAGGATAAAAATGTCTTGTTACTGTGTACGGTGAATTGAGTTCTAAATATTTTTGGGTGTTTTTTTTTTTAAACTGCTATAGATTAGGGTGTAAATTTACTAATAGCTAAGTCACTTCAGTTTAGATCACTCTTCAGCAGTGGACTGTGAACAATCCGTGATGATGAAGCCAAATTTATAGTACAGTTTGTTTTTTTTATATTAATGAATTGCGACGTTTAGAATATTTAATGTTTTGGCAATCAGAAATTAAACGTAGGGAGAAATTATTAAAGCTACCAAAAAAAAAGATGTGGTGTCGTGGGACACCGGATAAGAACGAAATTCCTTATTATAAAAATATTAATTTTAAGTTCTATTTGAGGTATAAAGAAAATCATTATTCGGGTATACATTTTTTATTATGATCTTTTTATTGAAAAAACAAAAAAAAACTACAAAGCTATCAACTTTATTTTATTGAAAATGATTTATAAAAAATATATAATAAAAAGATATGTTATTTTTTGTTTATTACAAACTTAAGTCGAACACTGTGTGCATTACTAATAAAAATCTTACGTTACGGACGTTTTTACCCTGCTCATCGTCCCGTAAGGAACTTCATTCCAAAAGACATCTTTTTTTATTTAGTTTTCTTAGTCTATAAAATAATACATTAGTATATTTTACACATTACGCTCGGTTCTTTGAGTGACTTACCGATAACATACGAGTATCCGTCGAGGGTGAGAACGCATTTCCTCAACGCACCGGAGGCGGATCGATGTCTGTGTGTCCTTGGAGCTGCACCCAACGCTCGTCCACCACCGGGGTCGCTGTGGCACTTGTGTACCAGCTCTTTGTCATTAGAAACATTACTTTTGCCGTCGACCGAGCCCTGTCTGCTGCCTTCGAGCAGCGGTTTGCCTCGCCACATCGTCACATCATACGCTATCACCGAGTCAAACGAAGTCACTCACTAATCAAATCACTTTCAATCACCGTTCGAATTCACTCCTGTCTCAGTGTTATTCACAGTAAAATCTCTGTTTTTATTTATTTTTTATATATAGATAATGTTTTTGCGTTAATCCGTCCACTGTCATTTTCGATGGCCTTTGGTTCTTAGCGTTACCGTAACTCGGAACGTTTAGAATTAGCGATATGTTTTCAAAACTGTATTTGATATGCTATCGGTAGCAAATTAGTTCGCTTTGGGCGTTTCTCATAGCCTCCTTTAACTAAAATTAATAAATCAAAAATCTAAGTTCTTTTTTACGATTTGAACGTTAACAAAATTGCTGGCAGCTTAGAAACGCGATGGCGTTTGAGTTTGTAAGAAAAGTTCGCGTAAGTTTGGACGCGGTGTTAGTGTGATGATGAATGTTTATAGTTTAAATTTGTAAGATACTTTGCGAGGCGATAATTATTTTCGTTAACACGTTCGAACGTATTGTGTTGATAAACGAATGAAGTTGATACGATATTTATGGCGCAAATGTGTTTCGAAATATCAAAATTGAAAGTTATTGGTGTCAGTATTCGAGGAGACGTAATAGTTAAATTAAAATTAATCATTTCGGAATGAATGAGTGTTCGTAGTCACGATATTCATTTATTAAAAGCGGTATTTCGATTACTATTTGCATTGCTTCATCGGATTATTATTCTCGCATTCGAATTACAAAACCATTACCGAGCATTGATAATTCATTGCGGGCCTTGGGCTTTAGGTTTCGGATCGCTCCTAATTAAGTATTTAACGTTGCGTAAATAATTATTCGTAACAAAATCTTTCTTTGTTACGAGACTCGTTACTAATAGCACGGCTAATTGACCGAAAACAGACTCGTTGTTCTATAGGACGCGTCGTGTTTACGTTCGAGATACAAGTTCGGAAACAAGTTGCGTTTGTAAAATCGTGGTTGTAACTGAATATGATTCAATTTAATTGAAAACCGTTGACAATTTACGCGTTAAATACGCGTCGAACGAGTCACGTGCGGAAATACGAAAATCTATTTTGAAACGGAAAGTGTTGTTTTTCGGTTTGTAGTAACGCGGCACGGGGCGGCCATAAAACATTGCGTCATGACCCACGGCTTAGGGTGGTCCCCGCTTGTAAACAGATCGTGACGTTGTCAAGACGAGGCCGGCCAACAGGTGGGCCCGAAATTATTTACGAAAGGAAACTCACAAGAAACTCGCGGTAGCGTTTTTTTTTTCTATTTTAATTGTTTTAAAAATTTCGAATTCATTTGTCGGTTGGTTTCGCGTTAAGTACGGTCATGCTCGGTGGTGCGCGAGTCGTGACCAGACTACCGGTCCGCGTGGAGGCCTGCGCGCGACTGTCGGCCACGCCACGACAAGCTCCCGCCTCTACAGGTAGAAGCTGATTAGTATTTAGTACCGAGCAATTGTTACATCCAGATTCGTTATTCCCGGGGTATCAGATGAAATCGCCCAATGAAGACCCGGCGACATTTGATTTGTGTACAAATCAATTTGTATCTGGCTGGGAAAATTACATATTTTACATTTTCCCGATTGTAGCTCTTTGATATCAACTTCTACTAATTTTGTAGCGTTAATTATGCTGTCTTAGTGATTCTAAATCTATTATAAACTAGTTGACCCGGCAGACTTCGTAGTGCCTCAATCGATAAATAAAAGACCTAAACTTTTGTATAAAATAAACTTAAAACAAACAAAATGAATCCGTCCGACGGGGGGGACATCATAGGAAAAACAAAATTGTTACTTTTATTTAATTCTGAGCATTTTCATATTTATTTACCTTTTAAGCCTTCTCTGGACTTCCACACATCATCCAAGACTAAAAATAGTCAAATCGGGCCGGTCCAGCCGTTCTCGAGTTTTAGCGAGTCTAACGAACAGCAATTCATTTTTATATATATAGATAACGTTTTTGAGCACTAAAATCGAAAAATAAAGCATTTCTCTGAAAACAAGAGCTATGTAATTCTAGATTATTCGTTCGCCGAGAAATAAGATAAATTCAAAACTAGACTGTTATTCTTTAGTGAACACGATATGATCGTATTAAAATATTTCAAAATATATATATATATATTAAGTCTTCATCTTCGTACATACATATATCTTGATAGTGTTCACAGTGGTGGGTATCATAGAAAAGGAGAAATCGGACAAAAACCCGAATCGATATAAGGTCGCTTCCGAGAAATCTTTCATAATCACATATTCAAGGTCCGAACATTCAATCCACCAAGTAACATTGTCCACTCGGTGGACGTTTACATTGTATTTGACATAAAAGTTACGTTTGACTATTTTTTTAGACTAGTGGACCCGTAGTAGTCGAAATTCGACTATAATTAATTGAAATTATAAGTTTGAACATTATTAGGGCTCTATTATCAAAGATTATGTATTATACTTCTATAGTCACAGATTTCGCCAAGACTACCTATAGACAAATATTAATAAAGACAAACAATATTTAATCTATTCTCAATTTGACCACAGACGTCAAGAACAAAAGTTTGACAATAAATAAATAGTATGCATGCGTGTGTGTGTCAAATACATGGTAGTATGTGTAATGTTTTCTTTATTGATTTAATGTATCTTTTATGCATTATTTAAAAAATATATTAGCATTGTGCATTTATTCTCTATATTCTCTATAAATGTGGGAAATTTCATACTTCTCCGCCCGCGCAATTTTCGTAAAAAGGGATACAAAGTTTTTGCTTCACGTATTAATATATAGATATAAACCCTCCATGTGTTTTTGTTCACGCGGGTAGCTTTCACGGTTGACTCCTGAGTTGAATGCTCAGTAAGGATCACGGAAACCACAAGATTTGACTTCTCATACCAACCCACCCACAGCTGGAAATGTTCAGATTAATTTTATTGCTCTACTTTGGCCTAAAGCTCACGGTTCGTATGACGTTGAGTCGCTACTAGAGTCTGTAGACATCACAGCGTCATAGCTCGCTATAGCATAGACGAGGTCGCATAGCTTTGAACTTATTAAGTTAGACGAGCTTACAATTAGTATCAATGGTCTTGTTTAAGAAAGTATCTCAACATTTCATGTATCTACAGAACGCGGCAAGGAAAGTTGTACTTGTAAACTCTATATGATTCATGACGTAAATCTTAAAAGAGGTTAATATGTTATAAAGGTGACATAAATGGTGATTTTGAATATTGAAACATTGGAAGAAGGAACAATAGAAATATTAAAACATTTTTTGAATATTTAAATATAAAAAAAACATAAAAACTGGTGAAGCAATATTTTTAAATGTTGTTTCTCTATATAGAGCAACTCAATTTGTGCTATAGTTTTACTAGACTAAGCTTTGTTTTGATTATATTATATTCGATTTTATTTTTGATTTATACACTTAATAGATACTATACCATACTATTATATACATACTTATAGTCTATTATACTTTCCATCCTACTATATATTTTGTATCTGTCGAAACACCTCTACAATTGTGATTTACATTCTAATTTGTATGGGCTTTGCTAACCAATTCAATCATTATTGCACCCTCGCTATTGTCACTGTCAAAAAATCACATCATACTCAATTCATTCGGCTCTGGTGCTGAAGCGTGAAGTGAGTTTGCACAGGAAGGTATTGTTGTCTGCTGGCACGAAGACATTTTTTTTAATGCATTCATGGGTGAAGGATTTCACGGCCCACCTGATGTTAAGGTCACCGGAGCCCATAGACATCTACAACGCAAATGCCGCCACCCACCTTGCAATATGAGTTCTTTTTTTTTTTTTATTGCCTTTGTGGGCAGACGAGCATACGGCCCACCTGATGGTAAGTGGTCACCGTCGCTCATGGACGTCAGCAATGCCAGGGGCAGAGCCAAGCCGCTGCCTACCATAAAGTACTCTCCGCAAGCCTCGTTTGAAGAAGGACATGTCATAGCGCTCGGAAAACACCTAATGTCTTAGTATAGTTATAACGGTTAGCCCACCCTTCAAACTGAAACGCGTTACTGCTTCACGGCAGAAATAGGCAGGGTTGTGGTATCTACCTATGTGGACTCACAAGACGTCCTACCATTGGTAATTACGCAAATTATAATTTTTCAAGTTTGATTTTTATTACATGACGTTATTGCTTCACCGTGGAAATCAATCATGTATATTTGTTAAGTACGTATTTCATTAGAAAAATTTGTATCTGCCTGCGGGATTCGAACACCGATGCATCGCTAGATACGAATGCACCGGACGTCTTATCCTTTAGGCCACGACGACTTGTATTATTCTTCAATAAAGTTATTCGGAATTAAAAATCTAATTTATTCTTTTATACGCACTATATCACTGGGCTACGACGACGAATAGAAAAAAACTCAATAAAGCCGAAACCAGAAAACAACTTAAGCACATTCACTTCCAATAAAAATTTATTTAACCACTATTTTCGTTCGGAACCTCGATTTATATCAATTTAGGTCGTCGGCTCTGTACAAAAGTCACAATTTAAGTGAAGTCCTCTAGATGCGAACGTGCCTCCTAATTTTATCCTTGGCACGAGAAAACAATTCGACGATACTTTGTGAAAGCGTTATTAGTTCTCGCGACGACAGGAAAAATCCATCTGGATTCATTCGCCAAAATAGTCCGTCAGACGATCTTATCATCTACATCAATAATTATAATCTATGGGGCTGTAAGAAGATATGTTTAACTATATCATTGAAGAGGATCAGATCTTATCATAATTGAAAGGCACGTTGCACTTCTCAAATTAAGCCACTGATGCTTTTGCAAAAGGAATAGATCTTATAAAGTTTTTGCTAAATGTAAATAATTCTTCAATCATAAGTTTTTATTTTTATTTATATTGCTTAGATGGATGGACGAGCTCACAGCCCACCCGGTGTTAATTGGTTACTGGAGCCCATAGACATCTACAACGTAAATGCGCCACCCACCTTGAGATATAAGTTCTAAAGTCTCAGTATAGTTACAACGGCTGCCCTACCCTTCAGACCGAAACGCATTACTGTTTCACGGCAGAAATAGGCAGGGCGGTGGCACCTACCCGTGCGGACTTACAAGAGGTCCTACCACCAGTTGAAATTCATTCATTCGTTCGTTCATTGGTAAAGATCCAATTGAGAGCACAGATAAGGATTACATATCTGCTAATTTCTGTCGTAGAGAAGTCAATCCTTCTGTATAAATGATAGCTACGCAATAATGCAATAAGCAACTTCGATCTCTTGTCCTCAGAAGGCTGCGCTAGCGTTGGGATGTCAATAAGCTACGAAAACGTCATTGCGGATCCTCGTGATCCATTAACGGTGCTTTTAGGTACCACAAGCACCGGTTACTGTCCTCGTCGAGCCCGTCGCTTGTGACGAAGGGATTGACGAGCGAATTAACCCATAGACACAGCCCACTGAGTTTCTCGCCGGATCTTCTCATTGGGTCACGTTTCCGATCCAGTGGTAGATTCTGCGAAGCACTATTCTTGCTATGGTCAGTGTTAGCATTACTCCGGTTTGAGCCCCGTGAGCTCACCTACTAGTTAAGGTTACGCCGAAATAGCCTCTCAAGGCTATCAGCTTAGGTAGGAAAAATAATAATTCGATAACTACTTAAAAAAAGGCTGAAAGGTGAAAGGCTATTTGGTTTCAACGACATTTCGCTTAATACGCGTCATTAATCTATATATTAATACGTGAAGCAAAAACTTTGTATCCCCTTTTACGAAAATTGCGCGGACGGAGGAGTATGAAATTTCTCACACTTATAGAGAATATAGAGAAGAAGTACACAATGCTAATATTATTTTAAAATAATGCATAAAAGATACATTAAATCAATAAATAAAACATTACACACACTAGATACATATTTGGCGCACACACGCATGCATACTATAGGTATTTATTGTCAAACTTTTGTTCTTGACGTCGTTGTCAAATTGAGAATAGATTAAATATTGTTTGTCTTTGTTAATATTTTTTATAGTGTAGTCTTGGCGAAATTTGTGATTATAGAAGTATAAAATACAATCATAATAGTGTACAAATTTACAATTCCAATTAATTATAGTCGAATTTCGACTACTGCGGGGCCTCTAGTCTTTATAATTAAAGGACTGTTTTATTTGATAATAGCAATAACAATTCGATGTTTGTAATTGAAATTCAATTATGTTTACTCCATTCAAATAGGTGAAGAATTTTTTTTGTTATGATATTTATTCCAAATTTTCACTTTAAATGGCTCTCCTGTAAACTTGCAAAAATGACGCTTAATCCAAATAGCTTTTCACCCTTCGATCTATATTTAT